CAGTAAGAGTGCTAAGGGAGTTGGTCCTGGTGGTGCTAGTGGTGGTAGTGGTAGTAGTGGAGGGTCGGCTGGTGGAGGGGGGGGTAGTTCCAGTGCGGGTGGGAGTGGGGGAGGTGGTATTGGGAGCAGTTTCTTTGAAGCTGCACAGAAGGGCGCGGGTGCGGGAATAGGGCTGGGTGTGGGAGCTTTGCAGTCTGTAGGAGCGCTCAAGTTTCGACGGAAAGTGGATGAGAAAGGGGAGGGGAGAGCAGGGGAGGAAGGCGGGAGAGAGGGAGGAGAGGGTGGGAGGGAGGGGCGAGAAGGGAAGGGTAGGCGAGAAGGGAAGGAGGCGAGGGGTCAGAAGGAAGTGGGCGAGGGGATGGAAGGGGAGGAGGAGGAGAAGAGGAAGAGTGAGAAGAAGGGCGAGAAGAAGAGACATGGGAATGTGTTCAAGATAGGGGGGTTACTGGGAGGAGGAGGGAGTGGGGGGGGTAGCAGCCTTGGTAGTGGCAATACGGGTAACAGCAACAACAGCAACAGCACTGGCGGTGCTGGTGACGTGGCTGCAGTCTCCCCAACAGCTGCCACCTCAGCGTCTGTCTTTGCCATGTCAGCGCAGACATCTGCCTCTTGGGAAGGTTCCGGGCAGGAACCGGGCGTTCTTAGCCCCCACGAAGCTCCTCTTGCTGCCACGTCAGCAGCATTCGCAGCAACAGCAGCAGCAGCAGCAGCACCAGCAGCGGGGGGTGCACATATGCAATCAGGCGAGTCAACTGGGCTAGGAGCAGCAGCAGTACCCCTCCTCTTAGCCGAGCCCGGGGCAGGCTTGACTGGGGAGGGCTTTACTGTAGGTGCAGTAACCAATCCCGAAATCACTCTAAAGCCAGGATTGTTGGCATTGGCGACAGGGGCAGGGAGGGGAGGGCTCGGGGCCGGGCTTTTACACGAGCAAGGGGGAAGGGTTAAAGAGCGGGAACGGGATAGTAGTCCTCCCAGGCCCAGCCCCCACAGAGGAAATATCTTCTCAGTGCCTGGGATTAGACTGAGAAAGGACCCGAATAGAGAGAGGGACAAGGAGAGGGAGAGTGGGGGTAAGGGGGAGGGTGGTCGGGAGGGGGGTAAGGAGGGCGGGGAACGGGACAGGCCTCTTGTTACCGCAGCTATGAATCTGGTTCGGATGGAAGGGTTGGGAAGGAAGGGGCCGAGCAAGTCAGGGCCGATACTGCTGGGCTCGTATGGGTCGTCTGCAGCAGCTGTAGCAGCCGTAGCACCGGCTGTAGCGCTAGCATCAGCACCTGCGCTGGAACCTGCAGGGTCGGTTTCGTCTCCCCATGCCGCAGCAGGAGCAGCAGGAGCCCCAGGTAGCTCAAGCCAGGAGGACAGCTCAAGTGAAGGCAATAGGCTGGGCGGTGATTCTTCTGCTGCTGGTGCTGCGGATGGTGCTGGTGTGGTTGGTGTTGCTGCTACTGTTACTGCTGCTGCTGCTGGTGCTGGTGCTGCTGCTGGTGCTAGTGGTGGGGTTGATCACCTGACCATTCGAACTGGTAGCGGCAAGTTACAGCCTGTTCTTCGAGCCATGGCTGCTGCTGGTGCTGGTCCTGCTAGTGCTGGTGCTGCTGCTGGTGCTGGTGCTGGTGCTGCGACCATTGCAGGTGGGAGTGCTGAGGATATGCATGATTCCGCTGTTGCTGCTGCTGTAGCAGGGGGGAGACAAGCAGCAGGAGGCACAACAGAAGCATCTCCAGGGGAAAATGCACCGCTCCCCACCGCTCCGCACACCCTGCGGGCGAGCAGAAGCAGCAGCTTCGGCAGCTATCACCACAGCAACAGCAGCGGCCGCAGTGCCAGCTTAGGCAGCAGCGCCAGCTTCAGAAACGCCATGTTTGGTGGCCCAACTTCCGCAGGAGCAGCAGCAGGAGGAGCAGGAGGAGGAGGAGGGGGAGGAGGAGGGGGAGGAGAGTGGGTGGGTGTGGGGGGCGGAGTGGGAGCAGTGGCATCTTCGCCTGGAGGGGGGCTAGAACAGACAAGCGATCCTACACTTTGGCTACCTGTGCCGCCCCACGCTGACCATTTTGGTACCGTTTCTGCCGCTGGTACTCCAGGTGCTTCGCCAGGTGGATTCTCAGGTGAATTCAACGCGATCATGTCTCCGACCACGCCACCTGAGCCACACTTCAGCCACCCCCACTCCCTCACTCCCCCACTTCCGGAAGTAGAGGAGGGGGATGAGGAGGGGGCAATAGGCGGGGAGGGAGAGGAGGGGGAGGAGTGTGGGGAGGGCGAAGGGGGGGAGGCGGCAACACCGAGTGCAGTGGAAGGGAGGGGCGCCAAGAAAATGGTGGCTCAGGCTGTGTTGGGAGGGCTCAAGAAGGGGCTGAGAACAGGGTCTCAGCTGGGGAAGAAAATCGCTGCTGCCACTATGAGCCCCCAGAGGTGAGTTTAGGGTCAACTCAATTAAACGGGGTGCACAGAAGAAGATGATATAGCTCAGCCTCTCAGGCGTTGTTGGGGAGCCTCAAGAAGGGGTTGAACACAAAAGGTGGGAGGGGCTCGAGTCCAGAAGGGGCTGAGGACGGGGTTTCAGCTGGGAAAGAAGCTCGCTGCTGCCACTATGAGAAGTCAGAGGTGATTTCTGAGTCAAACCCTAAATGAAATCGCTGGCGCATGGTGGCACATGCTGTGTGGGGAGGGAGGGCTCAAGAAAGGGCTGACGACAGGGTCTCAGTTGGGAAAGAAGCTTGCTGCTGCCACTATGAGCCCTCAGAGGTGAGGGCAGTGGGTGTGCATGCTCATGTGCATGCGGGTGCGTGTATGATGTGTGTGTGTGTTGGCTCTGGGATGTAAGGTGTTTGTTCTGTGAGAGGGCTCAAGAAGGGGTTGAGGACGAGGTCACAGCTGGGAAAGAAGCTTGCTGCTGCCACCATGAGAAGTCAGAGGTGAGTTGACTTGATGAACAGCAAAATTGCCGTGTGAAAGAAAGTCTGTTTTGCAGTACCCGAAATCATGTTCACCTCCTTGCCTCCCAACCCCTCAGGGCTCTCGCGACAGCCATCACCAAGGAGGTAGACCTGATGAACGCCAAGATCGCAGCCACCATTCGCAGCAGAGCTGGCTCCTCTATATCCACCCCCCTCACATCCCTTTTCTCCTCCCCTTTTTCCTCATATTCCCCTTCCCTCACAACCCTACAGGGCCCTCGCGACAGCCATCACCAAGGAGGTAGACCTGATGAACACCAAGATTGCCGCCACCATCCGCAGCAGAGCAGGCTCGTCCATTGCCCCCACCGCCCCCACTGCCCCCACCCCCACCACCACCGCTGGTCTCCCCAGCAGCACTCTCGGCAGCAGCAGCAGTTTCAGCAGCAGCACTGGCAGCAGTAGTATCGCTCCTAGTGCTGCTATGCTCACGGGCAGCAACAGCAACGGTGGCAGCAACGCTGCTAACGAGGCTTCTTCTGCAGCAGCTGCAGCAGCAGCAGCTGCTGCTGCATTCTCTGCTGCTGGCAATGGCAGCGGTAGCGGTGGTAGTGGTATGATCGGTGATAGCAGTGGAGCTGGTTCTGCATTCTCAGGTGCTGCATTTTCAGGCCCACTCTCAGCGCCTTCCTTCCATCCGCCTCTCCCCCTGCCCTCCCCTGCTCCTGCCCCACCCTCTCCTGAATCCTCTCTGGCTGAGGCTCTGGCAGCAGCAGAGGCAGCAGCTGCAGCGTTTGAAGCAGCAAGTGCAGCAGGTGCAGCAGCAGCGGGAGATGGGGCGGCAGGATTGGCAACAGGGATGGGGCCAGGGGTGGGAGCAGGGATGGGAGCAGGGATGGGAGCAGGGATGGGAGCAGGGATGGGAGCAGGGATGGGAGCAGGAGAAGCAGCAGGGTTCAAGAGGGGTGTGGATGGTGGTGGAAACGGTACCAGCAGCACAGGCGGCACTCATGTTGGCAGTGGGGATGCGAGCACCAGTGCAGCTGCAGCAGCAGACAGCAGGGACAGAGGCAGGGCCAGCAGACGCAGCGGTGGCAGTGGTGGAAGCGGGGGCAGCGGGGGCAGTGTGGGCAGTGGGAGCAGCGTTCTTGGCAGAAGCAACAGCGTTGATGGTGCTGCTGGCGGTGCTGCTGGCGGTGCTGCTGGTGGTGTTGCTGCTGCTGGTGCTGCTGCTGGCAGCGGTGCTGGCGGTGCTGCTGCAGCTGTTGTTGCTGCTGCAATGAAGCGATCCCTGTCAGGTGAAGATAGCAGGGACGGAGGAGGAATCTAACCCGCTGCTGCTGGCTGGTGCTGGAAGTGCTGGTGGTGCCGCTGCTGTTTCTGCTGTTGTCAGGTGAGGATAGCAGGGATGGAGGAGGAATCTAACCTGCTGCTGCTGGCAGCGGTGCTGGAAGTGGGAGGCTTCTAACCTGCTCCAGATGTGAGTCTTGGAATCAAATCAAACTCAAGCATTAAAACGGTGAAGCCAATGAAGCTGGTGGTGATTCTCGGCTCGAGCAAGCTGCCAAATTCATCTCTCTAAAAGTACTACTACTGCTTTGTATCATATTCCTTGCAATGTTTCTTTAATATTTCTAGGACCTGATTTTCTTCACTAGCATTAGAACATTAGGTCTATGTTACCAGTAAATGCTACTTGTCAAAAGGGAAAACTACAGTGTGCATCTCTTACAGGGTCAATCACCCTTACCATATACAGTGCACTATAGAACTAATATGTCATATAGTGTGTTCATTGATTACCAGTGGTATATTGTCGCATTGCAACATTCTCTCTTCAATACAGACATTGCTGTGATATCTCTAACCCATAATATCAGTCAGCATTCCCCCCGAGGAACTAAGAGCGTGTTCCTATCCTCGTATCAAGATAACCTCGTATCAGGCTCACACTGAAAATTCCCCTAAACCCAAAACCTCTCGCTAGTTTTACCAGGCAAAAACAGCATTCTTGATACGAGGTTTCCTGATATGAGGCCGTAGGAACACGCTCTAAAATGGCTATCCAAAACTGAACCTCTCCTCTCCTACCATTCATTCACCTCACACACCACCCCACCACACTGCACCCCACCCCACCACACAGCGCAGCACCCTGCCCCATTGCACCAGACCTCATCCCACCACTCCCTCTTTTCTCTCACCCCCCCCACACCAGCCACCTGCCTTTCTCAAACAGCCCTGTCCCCGCCAAGCCAACCTCCCTCCAGACAGCTGCCACTTCAGCTTCTTCAGCGTGAAAACCCGATCAGCGTTTGAGGCCTCTCAAAAGACTTCTCTCTCACCCCCCCTGTACCAGCCACCTGCCTTTTTCAAACAGCCCTGTCCCCGCCAACCTACCTCCAGACGGCTGCCATTTCAGCTCCTTCAACGTGAAAATCCGATCCGCAAACTCCCCGCCCATCTCCTCATCCCTCACCCCCCCACAGTCCCCCACCACAAGCTGCCTCAACCCCGGCAGCGCCAGCACCACCGCTTCTAGCGACTTCATCGTGATCAACGGACACCCTTCGATCGCCAGCCGGCCGATCCGACGGTTCGTGGCGACCGAGATCCCGGCGAGGGAGGCGTCGTCCAAACCGCAGCAGTTGCGAAGGTGCAGAGCGGTGGAATTGGCGCAGACTGCGAGAAGCGCAAGGAAGAACGGGCGTGAGCGCAGGTCGCAGTGAATAAGCTGTAGAGTTTCCACTGGGGAAAGAAACCCTGGGGGGGGCTGGGGAGGTCTGGGGCTCGCTTTGACGCGACTGGGTGTGGCAGGAGTGCTGGTGCTGCCGGAACCGGTTTTGATGGTTTTAGAGCGGTGGACTGCGGCTTTGACGGTGGCTAGAAAGCGACGGGAGGGGGGGAGAGAGATGTCAGACATCTCCCTTTCCAAACGCTTCACAGTCAAATCCGCACCCTCCTTGTCCTCCTCCTCACCCCCCTCACCCCCCTCTCCCTCCCCTTCCTCCTCTTGCTCCTCTCCTTCTGCCCCTTCTTCCCCTTCTCCCCCTTCTTCCCCTCCTCCTTCCTCCCCCTCCGCTTTCCCCTCTTCTTCCTCCTCCTCTCCCTCCTCATCCTTTCCCTCTCCTTCTTCTTCCTCCTGCCCGTTCTGCTGCCCGCCCGCTCCCACCTCCTGCCGCACCCCCCCTGCCCACCCAACTGCTGCTGCACACTCGTCGGGCTCTGATTGGTGGAAATTTTCGAGCCTGAGCGTCTGCAGGTTCGGACAAAAGCAGAGCGCGCCGAGCCAATCCGGGCGAAAATATCTCCCGGAAAGAGTCAGATCTGATAGCATCGGGCATTCCCTGGCCACTACAAACAAACCAGCCCGCCCAACTTCGCAACCCTTTAGCGACAGCTCCACTATTCGCTTGCATCCCCTTGCAAGGGTTCGTAGCCCGCGGTCAGAGAAAGTAGCGTGATAAAATCCAGGAACTGCCCCAACTAATCTCACCACCTGCAGGTTTTTACACCCAGAAACTGCTTGTAACGAATCATCTGTACACTGCCGAAGCTCCAATTCCTGTAGAATGCTACACCCTTCCGCAATAATATCTAGGCCTTCGGTATCGCGGTCAGTATAATCGTCGTCATAACGAGCCCTAGCTGCAATTATGTTATCTAAAATCACTGTACCGTTCCTCTGCGCGCGTGCTCCGTTAAAGTCAGCTCCGTTAGAGTCACCAGCTGGTTCTGCCCGATAGTGTGAGTGGCCCAAAAACCCTGACGCGTCTTTATCCGCGTTATACGATCCCTTCTTTGCGCGGAAAACGTCGACCAAACATAGCCGCTGTAGATTAGGGTAACTCTGAACTAACTCCCGCAATCCACGGTCGAAACTGTCAGGAGACGGGCTCTGCTCCTCTAACCTGTGGTCCGGTTCGAACGGATTAACTACATCAGGGTCGAGCCGCATCGTGCACGTGCCACGTGTCATGTACACGGCTGCCGAACCGAACACCTCAGGGTCGGAAGAGTTGCACCAGGCTGGGGAAAGGTCAAGCTCGGTCAGGTTCGGAAAACGTTCCGCCAAGCGGCCCGACTCGAGCATGGACCAATCGTAGAGCTTGAGAGAAGTTTTTATCTGCCCGTGAAGGCGGAGCCATCGGCGGGACACGAGCGAGCAGGATTTGAGATCGGACGTGGTAACCAGACGTAGCAGGCGAAGTATTACCTCGTCACTGGGTTGCGAAGAGGCAGACGATGCAGCCGAAGAAGACCATAACGAGGATGACCAAGACGAGGCCATATTCAGCAAAACGCTATTTTTCTCTTGCCACCTAGTCTTTGACTCGTCAATCGGCGGAACGCGACCAGGACGAGGCCATAATCTGCAAAACGCTATTTCTCGCCAAGTATCGACTACTCGTCAATCGGCGAAGCGCAGTAACGAAAATGACCACGACGAGCCGGCATGGCGAGTAATGCTGATGTGAAATCTCTTTCTGGAAATGGCTGGACAGAAATGTTGGTGACCGCTACCTCCTCTGCAGAATTCCGAAAAGTGCTTCAAAAGCAAAAGCTTTTTGGACACAAGACTTCCAGCGTGGATAGATATTCCAAGTTCCAACTTTGTAAGGATTTACAAAATCCTTAATGAGGCACTCGTTAGCGAGGCCCTCCCGAGGGTCACGCGACGAACCTGTTCTTCCTATTTCGTCGCACCGAACCACTCCCGAATCGCCTCCGCACCAAACGCAACCATCACCGAGCCATCCTCGCCCAACCTCCCCGCCTAGCTAGGACTTCCCCTATTTAGGCCTCGTCACTTCCATTGTATCGTCATTCAGTAATTCTCATTCTCGTTATTCGATATTCTGCGCACTCTGCAAGTTCATTCATAACAAACTTGAGGGTTGTGACGAGCAACGGGACTACCCGGTGACGGATGCTACAGCTCGCTTCTTTACAGGGGGGAAAAACATACCAGTAATTGATTTGCTTATGAAAAAACCAGTTGTAATACATCGGTACTGGCATCTTTCTGGAAAAAGAAGTGGCAACATTAACTTAATGGATACAGAGTAAATTTACATTGCACACAGTACTGGGTGGCACCAGCTCATCATAAAAACAAAGCATCTGCCCTTATTGAGTGCAGCCATGTCTCGGTTAGCGTGGCAGGCCAAGCAATCCGCCAAGCACCGAGTATAGCTGCGTAATACTTCCCTGCTCCTGCAGAGGCTGCTGCTGCTGCTGCTGCTGTTGCTGCTGTTGCTGTTGTTGCAACAGCAGGGGCAGTAACAACAGGAGTAGCTTCTGCGTTAGGAAGTCGGGCTGCTGCTGCTGCTTCTGCTGCTGTTTCTGCTGCTGCCAGTCCTTTTCATGGCAAGCATCCTTATTCAGTGTGTTTGTTCCTGCCATTAACACCATATCTGGTGCTACGGCTGCTATTGCTGGTAATCTTGCTGCCGCTGGTTGAGTCAAACCCCCTCCTCCTCGTTGTCTGGCCACTGCCAGCAGCAGCAATTGAAGCAACTGTGACTCTAACGAGGGTGACTCTACTGCAGACCGCACTGCTGCACTCATGCTTCCGATGCACTGCTGAAGGAAGTTGCCTGGAAGCACCATGTTCCGTTCAGATCCCTGTGGCGACACCGAGCCTTGTGCCAGTACACCAATGCCTGCTTCGGGCCGTACGCGATTGAGGTTTGGCTGCCGAGCCAGCAGTGCTAGCAGGACCGCTGCAGCAGCTTCGGACTCAGGACTCGCAGGCTTGGCCGAGGGTAGAACAGGCTCGGCATGATAGGCCGGGCGAGGAAGTTCGCCCGTGCAAGCCTTAGAACCCGACGAAGCTGCTGCTTCAGCATCCGCAGAAGGAGGTTGGTGGTTCATATCTGCTGCATGCACCACCGAGTGTGAGGAAACTGCAGGCAGCGCACCGTCAACAACATCCAGACATGTCTTTTGACGCGACTCGAAATTCATATCTGCTGCATGCACCCCCAAGTGTGAGGAAACTGCAGGCAGGGCACCGTCAGCAACTGCCAGAGGTTCAGGAGTCACAGCAGGCAGGGCACTTCCAGCAGCAACTGATGCATGCACCCCTGAGTGAGTGGAAACCGCTGTCAGTGCACCATCAGCAACAGCTAGAGATTCGGGAGTTGCAGCAAGCAGGGTATTTCCATCGCTTACTGTGGCGGCCCCTACCCCACAACCATCCACGGCCATCCCACCATCGGCTGTGGCCACCCTCCCAGTTGTGAAGGTCCCTTCAGCTACTGCCGCCACTCTGGCTGTAGAAGCCACTCCAGCTGTAGCCTCCGCCCCAGCTGTAGCGGCCTCCCCAGCTGTAGCAGCCACGGTTTCGGCTGTAGCAGGCAGGTCGTCCAGTGTGCCGTAGCTGGCAACCATTCTTTCCCAGAAGTCGTCATCTTCCATGGAGTCAACGCGAGTCAACTGCTCCAGCGAGCACTCTTCCTCCACCTGCTGCTGCTGCTGCTGCTCCTCATGCTGCTGCTTTTCATGCTCCATGTGAGCCTCCCCAGGTTGTTCCTGCTGGGACCCGAGGCAGCAACCCAGAGGCATCGCGTCCAGATCCATGTCTGCACAAAGTATCACAATCTCAGAACCGCTTGAAACTACATCAGCACCGCCTCTAACCTCCTCAGCAGTGCTTGTAACCACCTTAGCACCGCTTGTAACCGTTTCATCAACACATGTCCTGCTCGCGTCGAGATAGCACCCTTTCAGATCACTTCCCTCCCACAGCCACCCACTTTGCTCGCCCTGCTTGTCACCACCACCTGCTTCACCTGCTTCACCGCCTTCACCGCCTTCACCCCCTTCACCCCCTTCACCTGTTTCAACCCCTTCACCTCCTCCACTTGCTTCACCCCCTTTCGCATCGCCAGCTAGACCCTCTTCCCTCCCTACAGCTTCCCTCCCAGCGTCCTCCCCTTCCGTTTCTTCTTCTCCTCCTACCTTCTTTACTACTTCTTTTCGTTCTTCTCCCCTTCCTATCTCTTCTCCCCTTCCTATCTCTTCTCCCACTTCTCCTACTCCTCCTCCTTCTCCTCCTCCCTCCACCTCCATCGCTTCACTCCCGTTATCTGATATCCCGCTCTCTCGTTCAATCCCCTCCAATTCATCCCTCATCTCCACTCCCCTTACCACCTCCCCCACTTCCATATTCTCCCCATCGGCACTCACTGCCAGGACAACCTTTTGTTTCTCTCCCTCCCTCCCCAACCCCTCTCCACCCCTCTTCTCTCTCCTCCTCATTTTCTCTTCTTCCTCATCCTCCCCCCTTTCCTTGAGGGGAGGCGGTGGGCGCGAGTCTGCCAGCCACAGCTGAGCTGGCAGACGCAGCAGCTGACATGGCAGGTGCACCACCTGAGGTGGCAGTTTTGCTACTGCTGCTGCTGTTGCTGCTGCTGCTGATGATTCTGTCTCTCCCTGTGCCGCCATTCCACGTGGCCTTTCTTCGCTCGCCAAATCCGCTCCTCCTGCTCCACTCCAATTCGTACACGTGTCAGCAGACTCGGAACCACAAGCTACGCGTGGCGAGAACGGGACTCTAAATCCCGCTGACGTGGAATCGTTCGCTGACGTGGCAGGCGACTTGGACGAGCGTCTTCGAGTCGCTAGAGACCGCTGTGGAGCACCAGGTGCGGCGGGAATCCCGGGTAAGGATGTAGGAGTAGAAGCAGGCGACGGCGCGCGCGCGAATTCCGCTCGGAATGGGGGAAGCGGAGCGGGGGAGGGCGGAAAAGCGGGTGAACGGGGGGGCGGAGGATGACGTCGGGAAAGCGGGGCGGAGGCAGCAGGAGGGGGCCGTGAAGGATGACCGTGCGCGTATCGCGGAGACACGAGCGCGTTCAGCGCAAGGAGACCCGCGGGCCAGGTTGCGCCAGCGCCAGCGCCGCGGGCAGCAGCGGGGACGGGGGCGGGGGAAGAGGCAGGGTTGCGCGAGCTGGCGGCGGAAGCGGGGTTTGCGGAGGCCCAGTGGTGGGGGACGACGTAGGCGCGTTCCGCGGGGCAAGTTGCGCGCCTCAGTAGCTTCGGCTCCTCCGCGGAGCCCACGCTGCGTTCCAGCCCCGCGTCTGCGGCGCTCCGCTTCAACCGGCACGGGGCGGAGGGGGATGCGGAAGCGGAGGCGGAAGCAGAGGCGGAAGCGGAAGCGGGAGCGGAGGAAGGCGCCGAGAAGGCGGATGCCTCCGCTGATGCGGAGCTACCCGCAAGCCCAGCGCCGGCTGCGCGGATGCGCGAGGCTTGGCGGAGAGTTTCGAGCCACCCGCCCGCGCGGTGGCCCTGACTTTGCGCCACTGGCTTGACTTCCGCCGCCCGATGAAACGCCTCGAGGGCGCGTCCGGTGAAGTGCTGCCGGTGCTGCTGCTGGTCCTGGTGGTGCTGCTGGTGCTGCTGCTGATCCCCGATACAGAAATCTTCATCTTCTTCCGAGAAATTCTCTATAACGAGGCTCAACTGCCGGCGCTTATAGCGAGGCGTGAATGCGTCGGTTACTCTAGCTGGAGTCATTCTCGAAGCGACTGTGTGCGACGGCTGCGACGTCTTGCGATTTCTGCTGTGGCAACGGCAGCAATAAACTTAGCTACTTTGCTATATCAGACCGAAAAGCTGAATGCCCGTGCAAAATCTGAAATTAAATTCACACTACACGCGGGCTTAGCTGCTGTGATGTTTGAGTTTGAATCAGATCTCAGAGTACACACGGGTTCACTCGCTCCGCGCAACTCGCGACGGAGATGAACGATGCGCAGAAAATGAACGATGAACGATGGCAATACTACATATGTCTACACGAACTTCTATTGATAAGTGCGAGAGTCGAATGGACGAGAACGGTCGGCAAGGGGAAGGAAGACTGAGGGCTCAGGGCAGTACTGTCTATGCACTACAGCTGATTTAGGAAAGGAAAATAGCTATGTTAGGAGATATATACAGCTATTTTGAGATATCACTGTCGCCAATAGCCGTGCTGTGATTTGGCGCGAATGGCTTGGTGAACGCTGTGCAGAGGCGGTAGATTCGCTGTTTCAAGGACGGACTGAGGCTACGAAGCTGGAAATGATTCGAAGAAGCTACTGTATGCACCAACTATAGGTCAGCGAGTGCGGTCGTGAGCTGGTCAATATACGCGATGGGCTGGTTAGGAGGAGGTGCGCGGGACGAGGTGATGAGAGGAGCTGATACTAGATAGAAGATGAGCAAAGATGAGAGGAAGGGAAGGCAGACAGATAGAAGGGGGGCAGAGAGTAGGCGAGTGGTATGTGTGTGTGCGACCTTTCGGGGCATTGCTTGCTTTCCCCTGAGTCGGAAGGCGGTTGCGGAGCAGTTGGCGCAGCTGCAGCAATCTACACTCACAGTAGTGGCGGATTTGCGTGACCAGCGAACGAATTCGCGACCGCAATGGTGAGTCTCGAAGGGCTTGCGGAGGGAAGGATTCTCCGCCCGCTTCTGTATTGCGCAGAACTGACGCATTTGCGGCGCGACAGGGATTCTTGAACCAGGATTTGCTTATTTGCTGAGCCGAAGCGCTGAAGAGCGAATGAGAGGGCGCCATGCTCAAGCCCTGAGGCCGCCACACTCCACCAATCAGACTCTACGCCTCCCTCGCGCGGTTCGCGGAGGATTCACGAATCAAAACGAGGTGCAGAACGATTTGCGTAGATCCGTCCGTTTTCAAAGGGGTTCAAGTGAATGTGTGTGGGTCTGTGAGGCGACGACGTCGCCACGATATCTTCCACCAACCCTTCGCGGCTCGGACCACGACATGGAGGACGTTCTTGGTGTTCGCTAAGCGGAAACGCGTTCTCACCTTCTTGTGATAATTCAGGAACAGAAAACACACTGCCACGGACATTCACAAATACTTCATAATCTTGAAGGAAATTACCTACAGACAAGAAATCATCATTATCCAGGGTAATATTAATAATATATCACCCTTGGTATCAGTATTTAAGCGAAAATCAGCATTGCTGAACTCCCTGTGCATGGTAGTAAGCCAATAGTCTTTTCATCCCATCGCATGAGAGCCCCCCTGTTGCATAACTTCCCTCTTCAGCCACTCCCTCTGCTGCATCTTCTGGCGTTGCCCTGCACTAACATTCCCTGCTGGCCGTCGGATCGGCATACCATCAATATCATCCAACACTGGAGATGCAGGATTTGGCCGGTGGATTGGCCCTCCACCTCCTCTTCCCCCACCTCCCCGGCCTCCTCCCATACCTCCTCCTGGACCCAGCGGCCTTCCCCCCTGCATTGGCCTCTGCACCGGACCTCCAGTGCGGTATGGAGGTCCGGGCCGAGCCTGAGGTCCCGGGGGCCCTGCCCGCATACCCGGAGGAACCCCAACTCCGGGTCCCATACCTCCTCTCCCAGGCATCGCCTGGCCTGGAGAAGGCCTAGGTCCGGGGCCAGCACCAGGCCTGGGCCGAGGTCCAGTTGGATTGCCTCGGGGGCCTCCAGGTCCAGGAGCTGGTCCTGGGCCAGGCCTTGCTTGGGGAGCTGGCCTAGGCATGGCCGGACCAGTTGGAGGAGGTTCGGGTGCAGTACGAGCCATGGAGGGAGGAGCACTGGAAGCAGACCGAGCCATAGATGGAAGTCCGGGAGGAGCTGCTCCAGAAGGAGGTCTGGGAAGAGGGGAACTGGGAGGTCCGGAACGGTAGGGGCCGGTACGGGGTTGCCTTATACCCCCATCGGGTGCATCAGTGATGGAGATAGCACGGGCCATGGGGGAAGGGCGAGCAGTAACAGGAGCAACAGGAGGAATAGAAACAGACTGTGACTTGGCGTAACCAGTACTGTTGCTGTTGATGTTACTGTTGTCGCTGCTGTTACCATAACCGTTGCTGATACTGTCACTGTTCACAAAAGTGGGAGCAGATGCTGAAGTGGGAAAGGCAGGAGCTGTGGCGACCTGGTTCTTAGGCTCGGCCGAGCCTGGTAGCTTGCGTCGGACCGGGCCTGAGGGAGGGCGAGCCTTGGAGGGCGGGTGCGGTTGCAGGTGCGAGCGTCTGAAGTGGAGAGTGACAAGGGAGAAGGAGGTCAGCAGCTCCACCAGCACTGCCTCAAACTTGTCCTTGTCACAATAATGAAGCGTCTGGTATGGGGGACAAGGGGAAGAGAAGGACGGAGGAGGTGGGGGCAATGGGCGTGGGACAAGTGGAGTGGCAGACACCAGCAGCTCCACCAGCACAGCCTCAAACTTGTCCTTGTCGCAATAGTGAAGAGTCAGGGTGGATCACGAAGTCCCCACAAATTCCGAGCAAAAACAAGAGGCCACAAGGCCAGTTCAAGTGTTCGCATACATATATACCGTAGAAGTACAGCAAGCGAAAAGAGACAAGACCACTGTAGCTAAGAGCCAACGTCAACAAGGCCTAACTACAAACAAAACATGTGGTGGTCACCAGGCGGAAGGGCCTTGGTGAAGATGTCTGAAGTGTTGGCCTCTGAGGCCACGAAGTCCAAGCGTGCCTGACCACGTCGCTGCAACTCTCACAGGAGAAAGTACCTGACGTCGACGTGCTTCACTCTGCTCTCCAGTTGAGGCTCTCGATACAGGGGGATCATGGCCTTGTTGTCATCGAAAAAGGTCGGTGCAGAGCTCGGCCGCTCACCAAGGTCGGTCAGCAAGAATGTCAACCAGTGAAGCTCCTGCGCAGCCATGGCACCAGCGTAGATCTCTGCCTCAGCACTAGACGAAGCCACAGAAGACGACCAAGTAGACCTCCACGACACAGCTCCAGTGCCCAAGCTGAAGCAGTAGCCCTGAGTGGACCTTTGTGTCTCCACGTCGTCGGCGTAGGAAGAGTCGCAGTGACCAGTCAGTGAACTGGCTGTGTCCCTCCAAGCAAGCCCCATGCTTGATGTAGTCGCCAGGTACTTCGCCACCCTCACATCGGCTGTCCAGTGAACAAGACGGTGTCTCCCAGTCGCAACAAAGCGAGAGAGGAAGCTAAGAGGAAAAACGAGGTGCGGCCGAGTACAAGTCATCAGGTACATGAGGCGGCCCACAAGCTCTGCGTAGGGACCACCAGACTCAAAAGGCTCGTCGGTGAGTCTGTGGTCAATGGCAAGAGGAGTGGGCTGTGTGGTGGAGTGCTGAAGCCCGAACCGCTGAAGGACCTGCCGCACCATGTATGAGTATGATGGTGTGAGCGGCTCTATCCCTGGTGATCTGCAAGCCAAGGTAGCGACGCAACTCACCAAGGTCAGTACACATGTGTCTCTTCTGCATTTTGGACTTCACCTCAGCCAATGCAGTCATGTCTGCTGTAGCAAAGACCAAGTCGTCAACGTAGACAAGGACGAAGAAGGGTGTGGGCCCAGAATGAGCGAACAGCGATGGGTCGGCGGACGAAGGACAAAACCCGAGGGCAGCAAGAGTAGTGCGCAGCGTGTCGTGCCACTCACGGGGCTCCTGGCGGAGACCGTAGACTGGTCGCCTCACGCTCCACTAGGTCCTAGGCGGGAAAGTGTCAGAGAAGCCAGGAGGACAACGCAACCAGATCTCCTCGTGCATGCTGCCCTGGAGAAAGGCGGTGGAGAAGTCGAGGGAGCGCAGCTCGTAGTCTCGCTGTGCTTCAACGTGAAGTAACACCCAAAGAAACGTCATCTTTGGGGTTGGTGCGAAGGTCTGGAAGAAGTCAACTCCCTCACGATGAGTGAAACCTCTAGCCACGTAGCGCACCTTGAAGACATGCAGCGAACCAGGTGGCTGCTTCACCTTAAAAATCCACATGCCGTCGACTACGTTTGTCTTAGGTGGGGGAACTGCGTCGACGTAAGTGCCTGTGGATCTTTCACTCAGGTTGGTGACGAGGGAGGGGTGGGGGGTGGATGATGTTGTAGCAACGGTGAAGGCAGCTGCGGGCATGCTGAGAAGAGCCAAGGTGAGTGTGATGCACAGATGTGAGTGCGAGAACATGAGTGGGGGGAGGGCAGTGGTGATGGGAGAGGGTTGGGGGACGGATGATGTTGCAGCAACAGTGGAAGCAGCTGCTGGCGTGCTGAGAAGAGCCAAGGTGACTGTGATGTGATGCACAGATGTGAGTGTGAGAATGTGAGGTGGTTGGTGCTGGGAGAGGGGTGGGGGTGGACGACGGGGTAGCAATGGTGGAGGCACCTTCTGGCATGCTAAGGAGGGCCAAGGTGAGGTTAATGAACATATGTGAATGTAACGAACATATGCGACTGTAATGAACTTATGTGACTATAACGAACATATGTGACTGTAACAAATATATGTGACTATATTGAACATATGTGACTTTACCAAATATATGTGACTGACTAACATATGTGACTGTAATGAACATATGTGACTGTAATGGTGTACACGTCACGAGGTAAGTCTTCTTGGTTCCTCGCCTCTTCTCCTCGCCTCTTCTCCCCTCCTCCCCTCAGACTGTGCAGGGCTTTCGACAGCTGTACCAGGAGGGGGAGGGAATGTGCGTGCTTCCCATGTCTCCTTGCTTAATTTCTCCCCGCTCCCTCCTCCTTGCTGCCTCCCAGTCTGTGCAGGGCTTTCGGCAGCTGTACCAGGAGGGGGAGGGAATGCGCGTGCTGTGAGGGATGAGGGCCGCATGGGAGATGCAGGAAAAGAAGGCCGGGGCGGGGGTAGAGGAGGGTGGAAAGGAGGGTGAAGTGGGAAAGGAGGCAGGTGGAGGAGAAGGTGTAGCAGTGGAAGGGGAGTCTATAATAGGTTCGGCCGTCCCAGACGCCCTGGGTGGGTTCCGAGGCTGTGAGCCAGGTCCAGCGGCTATAACTACCCTAAACCCTGCGGCGATGGACGGTAATGTACAGTGAGAGAGTATTTCCAAACCTAAAGGATAAGGCAGTTGTGGGTTGGAATGAATTCGCCGAAGGTGGGGCCTTTGAGACGTCTCAAAAGTCTTCAAGAAGCAAGTTAGTTTGGATCAGATCTGACCAAGGTGGGACTACTGTTGGGTGCTCCTCTGCTGCGCCTGCTGCGGCTTTTGAGGCGTCTCAAAAGCTACCTCCGACTTCAAGGAGCAAGACTGTTGTAGTATGGAGTGGATCTGCCCAAGGTGGGACCATTGTTGGGTGCGCCTCTGCTGCTCCTGCTCCTGCTCCTGCTCCTGCTCCTGCTGCTGCTGCTGCTGCTCCTGTTGCTGCTGTTGCTGCTGCTGTTGCTGCTGCAGTTGCTGGGTATGTGTCAATCGATGGTGGATTCACTGATGGCGGTGTAATCAACGGTGGTGATTCCAAGTGTTGGCGGCTCTACCGGTGCTGCTTGTGGTGGTAGTGGGGATGCAAAACCTGCTGGCGGTGACAGTTGTCAACATGGTGGTTGGAACACCTGCGCTCCCATGTATGTAGCTTCTTATCTCATTAAATGCATCGGCTAATCCACCAAGGAGTGAAGTTTAATAAGCTGTTCTGGTACCCTATTGCTAATATTTGTTTTCTTTGATTTTCAGGATTGTAGGTTATAGGTATTTGCCAAACTATATATGTATTAGCTCTATGTAGGCTATAGTGGGGTAGCCCATATGGGGTACAACCCGAAGTTAGGGTTAGTACTTGTACCCACATTTCATTCAATGCAACCATTCCTACTTGCTATTTTGACATGGTTTCAGAGCAGTAGGTCCGTAGGACCGTTTTTTCTTCAGGCCCACCATACTTAGCTTCCGACTGCGGTTACCGCGTTACCCCACTACCCTGCGTCGCGCTGCCCCGCGCACGCCCTGCCTTGCTCCGCGTCGCGCTGCCTAGCGCACGCCCTGCCCTGCCTTGCTCCGCGTCGCGCTGCCTAGCGCACGCCCTGCCCTGCCCTGCCCTGCCCTGCCCTGCCTAGCGTCACCCTGCGCCAGCGCCCTGCCCTGCGCCGGCGCCCTGCCCTGCGCCGGCGCCCTGCCCTGCGCCAGCGCCCTGCCCTGCGCCAGCGCGCCCTGCCCTGCGCCGGCGCCCTGCCCTGCGCCGGCGCCCTGCCCTGCGTCGGCACCCTGCCCTGTGTCGGCACCCTGCCCTGCGCCGGCGCCCTGCCCTGCGCCAGCGCCCTGCCCTGCGCCAGCGCCCTGCCCTGCGCCAGCGCCCTGCCCTGCGCCAGCGCCCTGCCCTGCGCCAGCGCCCTGCCCTGCATCTGCGCCCTGCCCTACGCCCGTGCTGCGGCCCTGCGCGTTGCGCCCTACGGCAGCCCACGAGTCGCGCGCTGCTGCCTCGCGCGTCGCGCTCTGCTGCAGCCCGCGCGTCGCGCCCTAAGGCAGCTCGTCGATCGCGCTCTGCTGCCCCTCGCGTCACGCACTGCTGCAGCCTGCGCCAGCGCCCTACCCTGCGCCAGCGCCCTGCCCTGCGCGCGCTGGCGCCCTGCCCTGCACCAGCGCCCTGCCCTGTGCCCGCGCCCTGCCCTGCGCCAGTGCCCTGCCCTTCGCCAGCGCCCTGCTAAATCCTAAATAAAATTAAAATAATTTAAAAAAAAGGCCCTAGGTGCTTCTGCCCTAGGAGTTATTACCTGCTACTGCCCTGCTGTGGCCGCACGCCGCCCTGCTCTGGCCGCGCGCCGCCCTGCTGCTCTTACTGCTGCTGCTATTAATCGTGCTACTGCCTTCACTCCGTACTGCCCTAGAGGTCGCGCTCCTCCTAGCTTGCCCGCGATGACTTCCCTTTGTCGTACCGGTGGGAGTGGTGACGGCGGTGGTGGCAGCAGTGGGAGTGGTGGTGGCCGTAGTAGCAGTCACTGTGGCGCTGTTTGGTGCGGAGTGTCTAGCGGTGGCCAGATGCAGCTACGGCGGCGTCCGACCCTTACGCCCCGGCAGCTTCGTGAGTGGCTTTACCAGCGTGGGCCGTCTCCGAGTCCGGGTCGCTGCCCGTACGTCATTCGCACAGGTCGTCGAGCTGGTGAGACCTGTGGGACACCTGGTCACGCACAGTCCCGCTACTTCGCCTATTTGAGTGACGTCTGGCGCATAGAGTTTGGCGACGAGGCTGAGATCCCCCCCGGGCTTGATCTGCTTAGGACGGGCGTTGCTGTCTTTGCTTTAGACTATGACGCCATCCTTACTACCATGTCTGCTTTGCATGGTGGTGTTGAGCGTGACTGTCACCTGTGCGTGCAGTACGACCCCGGTATAGAGGTTGCTGCTCTATGTGCTAGTGAGGCTGCTGCCTTAGGTGCTAGCGAGTCTGCTTCCTCAGATACTGCGCCTGCTGAGGCCTTGCACACCTTCACGCTTGACTCAGGTGCTTCTCGCTGTTTCTTTCGTGACAGTACTTCACTCACACCACTCACTGCACCTGTTGCACTCTCTCTGGCTGACCCCTCAGGGGGCCCAGTTCTTGCACGGTCCACCACTGTGCTTCCGTGCCCGGCGGTTCCGTCTGGCTCACTGACAGGCTTCCACCTCCCCTCGTTCTCTATGAACTTGGTGAGCAACGCAGTTCTCTAGGACCAATGGGTTGACACCTTTACCCCTGGAGGACAGCGTGTGGCGATCTGTACGTGCTCCCGGACCGGCCGCCACCTGGCCACGTTTGCACGTCGGCCAGGGTCGAGTCTTTACACACTGACGACTTCACCTCCTTAGGTAGCTGCTACTGGTCAGGTGTCTGCGTCAGGTCAGGTAGCCTCCCCTTGAGAGTGTCGCTCCCTGTCGCACCAGACTCTTCTCTGGCACCACCGTCTGGGTCACCCCTCCTTGCCACGTCTACGTGGCATGCACCATCGCCTCCTTGTGTCTGGTCTTCCCAGGTCTCTCCCTCCCCTCCCTTCCTCGCCTGCGCTCCCCTGCCTTCCTTGCGTCGAGGGGTGGCAGCGCGCCGCTCCTCACTCCTCCTCGTTTTCCCCGACAGAGGCTCCTCTGTAGACCCTCCACCTGGACGTGTGGGGCCCAGCCCGCGTTCGTGGACAGGGCGGTGAGCGGTACTTTCTGCTGGTTGTCGACGACTACTCGCGGTACACCACGGTCTTCCCCTTGCGCACCAAGGGTGAGGTCCCTGCTGTCCTGATCCCTTGGATCCGAGCAGTTCGTCTCCGGCTCCGCCGCAGGTTCCGCCAGGACCTTCCTGTCCTGCGTCTGCACTCTGACAGAGGTGGTGAGTTCACCTCTGACCTCTTGCAGGCCTTCTGTCAGAGGGAGGGCATCGAGCACGCGTTCCCGCTTCCGGGCTCATCACAGCAAAATGGGGTTGCTGAGCGCCGCATTGGCTTAGTCATGGAGGTCGCTCGTACCTCCTTGATTCATGCAGCTGCCCATTTTCTGTGGCCGTTTGCGGTCCGGTACGCCGCATAGCAGCTCAACCTCTGGCCCCGTGTCTCCTTGCCGGAGACCTCGCCCACACTGCGTTGGACGGGGGAGGTTGGCGATGCGTCGCGTTTCCGGGTCTGGGGTGCTCGTGCCCTTGTCCGCGATACGTCCGCGGACAAGCTCTCCTCCTGCACCATTCCCTGTGTCTTACTTGGCTTTGTCACTGACGCGCCTGGCTGTTAGTTTTACCACCCCACCTCGCGCCGTGTCTTCCCCTCTCAGGACGTCACCTTTGACGAGTCGGTTCCTTTCTACCGTCTCTTCCCCTACCGCACTGCCCCTCTCCCTCCCCCGCCGCTTTTCCTCGCTCCAGGTCCCCCTCCGGTAGACCCCCTCCCCCCTCAGGGTCCTGCTCCTTCAGGTGTGTCTCAAGTAGACCCGCCCCCCTTGGCTGAGCCTGTAGAGGTCACTAGCGACTCAGGTGCTGTTGCGGGAGGTGCTGCTGGGGGTGCTGCTTCTGAGGGTGCTGAGCCTGCGCGTGAGGTGCTGGGGAGTGAGGAGCATGGGGGTGCTGAGCCTGTGGCTGCGGAGTCTGGGGGTGCTGAGCCCGTCCGTGAGGTGCCGGGGGGTGCGGAGTCTGGGGGTGCTGAGTCTGCTGGCGTTCCTCTGGGTCTCGTTTCACGACGCGGGCCTGTGTCACCACAGCAGGCACGAGAGTGGCTTGCGTCGCGTACCCGCCTGAGGAGTCGTGTTGCTGGAGCTGCTTGTCGTGAAGGCGCTGGGAGTGCTGGTGTCTCTGGTCCTGGAGGTGCTCGTACTGGAGGTACTGGAGCTGGCGGGATTGGTACTGCTCCTGGAGCTGGAGGTGTCGGCTCTAGGAGTGCTGCTGCTGGAGGTACTGGGGCTGGAGGCCCTGGAGCTGGTGCTGACCACCCTGGCGTTGGAGACCCTGGAGCTGGAGGTGCCGGTTCTGGGGGTGCTGCTGCTGGAGGCCCTAGCGCTGGTCTTGTTGACCCTAGAGTTGGGGACCGTGAGGCTGGAGGTGCCGGTTCTGGGGGTGCTGCTACTGGTGGCGCTGGAGCTGGAGGTTCTGGAGCTGCTGGAGGCGCTGGAGCTGGAGGTACTGCTGCTGGAGGCGCTGGAGCTGGAAGTGCTGCTGCTGGAGTCGCTGGAGCTGGAGGTTCTGGAGCTGCTGGAGGCGCTGGAGCTGCTCGAGGCACTGGAGCTGGAGGTGCTGCTGCTGGAGTCACTAGAGCTGGAGGTGCTGCTGCTGGAGGCGCTGGAGCTGGAGGTTCTGGAGCTGCTGGAGGCGCTGGAGCTACTGGTACTGGTGGCCCTGCACCGTCGCGACTGTTTTTCGCTCCGCCGTCACCGTCGTCTCTGCCACCGCCTGACTCCGTGCTTCTCCAGGTTCTTAGCCTCCCGTCTTCCACTGG